TTGTGTAATACTTTCATGTTGCACAGCGCGTTGTAAGGCGTCACAGTGCGTCGCTACAGGAGGCGATCGCTTCATGAAAAAAATCTCCCTATTTTTTGGTTTTCAAACTTGGGATCTCTGTATTTACTAGGCCTATAATCGCCCAAGGGGAATATCTTTTGTGTTATTTCCCCTTAACGTCGTTTTTTTAATTGTTCTCCAATTCCTCCATTGTCTAAGTTCCTCCTAAGGTACAGGTAATATTAATAATTAATAATAATAATAATAATTTCAGCATTAATTACCTTGGCCTAAGGCTTGTAATGAAGAACCTACAGATACTATTTACTAGGCCTATAAATAATAACTAGCCCAAGGGGAATATCTTTTGTGTTATTTCCCCTTAACGTCGTTTTTTAAATTGTTCTCTAATTCCTCCATTGTCTATAAGTTCCCCTTAACGTACAGGTAATAATAATTAATAATAATAAATAATCATTTCGGCATTACATGTAACTTGGTTTAGCCTACGGTAATCAAGAACCTGCCGATTACTATGCCTAATATTAATAACTAGCTGATTTATACATTCATTTGGTGCTCTGCCATTTTGGCAAGTCTTATGGCATCCAGTATTTTAGAGCTGCCTATTCTCAGCTCTAAAAAAATAAAAAAATAACTGTCTCACCCTGTTTCATTTGATGAAGAAAAACGCGCATTTCCTTACTCTTTGTGCTTTCCCCAGAAAGCGTATATTTTTTGTAGTTAGGCCTAGGTAATTATGCAAAACCCACGGGCCTAACTAAAAAATTAAAATTGTCATAGTATGTAACTCAAGTTAAAATAACACTTTTCATTACTCATGCAGCTTAATCAAATATTATATGTCATTTTAAACGACCCATTGGTATTAACATGGTAACATCAATGTATTTTTAAAAATTAGACAGCGACGTTCTCTCCGTTGTTTTGTAGGCGTTTATCTGTTGATGACCTTTTGACCTCCTGAATTCTGCAATGAGATTTTCGGGTCGATTCAGCCGAGACGGCCCGAGTGGAGTTTCATGTAAATGTTTCGTACGGAAAAAAAAATCGCGACCCGGCAAGTTAGAGTTCTTGTTGCGCCCTCAAGTTGCGAATAATAAATAAAAATGGCTGCGCCCATGGAAAGTCGTGACACCAAGAAACTATTTTTAAAAGACATAAATACTAAAATTGAACAATCATTATCGGGAAGAGAGAATTCTAATTATATAATAGATATATTAAAGCTCACTCAGGTAAACGTATTTTGATAAAGATAGTATAGGCATACATTAACTGTAGTATAGGTAGGCACCCTGTACTGTAGGTAGAGTAGCCTATAAGTAAGTATTAACTAAGTAAGTAAGGGCTTGGCTAAGTTGGACTAGTAGGCTAGGCGGCCTTCTCTACACTAATATTACTAGGCTAGGCCTAGGCCAAGTTACTAATACGGGTGCAGGTCAACTCGGCCACAGTCAACTCGGCCACAAGTCAACTCGGCCACAAAAAGTTCGGCTGCAGCCAACTCGGCCACAAGTCAACTCGGCCACAAGTTATTTATTATTTATTAAAATGAAATGTAAATCTCAGTTTTTGCATCCTTTTTCTTCAATATGATTGAAATGAAGTACGTACAGTATATTTTAGTAAAACAGGACCACCACACCAGGGAGTTGTTATAACTCCCTGACAAAGTGATTTGAATGCTATTGCCTTTTTTAAAAAGAGTTATTTATTAATGTGTTCGTCTTCTGTTTACTCACAACATTCTACCT